GCCCCCCATGGCACAGTCATTACTGCGCTATCATTTAGTGCTTGCTTTAGGACGTACTAAATAACAGTGCAATAACAGCTGTTACTGCTCTGTCCCAGTGATGCACAGTTATTTTTAGGATCTACGTTGCCATAGCAATGCACTATAGTAAGGTAGCTTGTCACTACTGTGACGTCACATCAATGTCATGGTTTGGGCTTGCCAATGCTACATTACTGTAGCATGTCACTACGACAATGTAGCGTCATATGTAGATGTGCCCACCGTCTCTCTTTACTGTAGAGAAAATTTACCTTGGTAGTAAAATCTGGGGAAAATTATTCTGTACTATTCATGCTGCATATTTGTATGCAGAATGACAGTAGAAGGAAAGTGAAGGACCCTTCTCTATTTCATGTTTACTCTTTGACTATCTTCTTTATGGTTTCACCTGCTCATCCATTAACATAAGTCTTCCTCCTTCTCACACTCTATAGATAATGAAAAGCCATGTGACATCATCAGCTTACTGAATTTGTGATGTCCTTTCTGTTCCTGCTGTTGTCCTGTTCATGTCTCTTCCTTCAGGAGTATGCTTTGATTGGATGGTGCCCAGATGAAAGTAGAGAGCAACATCTCCATGACTGTGCGCCCTGGGATTAGAAGAGATTTCCTCTCTCACCCTTCATGTAGAAGCCATTTCCACTGGGGACTGACAGTTGTAGGAAATTTAAGGCACAGATATGAAGCAATTTAAAAGAAGCTTTCTTCAGCTTTGTCAGGATCATATTCATAATCCATAACATAGATAGGTCTTTTTTAATGGGATGATAATAAGTGTCAAGCCTCCATGTAGGCCAGACAACAAGAAGTTGTAGCAATATTGGTCAATCACTGATGTGTTCATGACATGATGAAGTGGATGCCAAAACATCACTGAAGGGGATTAGTCTTGAGCTGGACTCTGACAGGTAAAATGTCAGTCAAGCAGCTTTGGTATGGGGCAAATAAAGGGAACAGATTTATTTTGGTTATAACGTACTGCAAAATACTTTTATTTCAGTTGTGGGTTCTTCTGGCAGATCATTTTTGAGATGCCAATCAACACATTGAGCTGCTCAGCAATATCATTATTGTCATTATTTATATTGCAGGAGTGTCTAGAAGCCCCTGTCAAGGATCAGAACCACATTATGCACCATTTCATGCTCAAATAACATAAAAACATCCCTTTGGATTGAAAAGCTGACCATCAATGCCTAAGGCAATGAGCAAAACATGGATTGAACAAAGAACTAGGCATGGCACAAAGTAACAATAAGGAAATTATGAATTGTGTCAGAAGATCTCTAATCTGTTGGGAGTCCTGCTGTTAGATGGAGACCTGATGGACTGGTACAAAGCAAGGTACCTGCAGATCCTAAACTACTCACAGAGCCCTAAATGCCCAAGGGAAGTCTCTACAAACTCACAGACTACCTTCTCATTAAGGAAGAACAAAGACACAGCAATAAATAAATAGCAGAGAATAGGCATGAAAATCTCCACAAGTAAAAATTTCATTCAGCTTGATAGAGAAGTTATTTAACATCTCTTAGATTCACTTCTGAACTTTTATGTGTTCCAGCCCATCCATCCTAGCTGTTTTATTGGTCGCAGTTTCACATTGTAAGCTTTTATCTTGCTTACACACTGACAATATTACCGGTTAATAAGACTTTAGGTTGTGAAGGATGTATAAGCATCCTAAAGAACCATATCAGTCTTTTGACAGTGCTTAGAGCTCCGTATTCAGTGAATTGTAGCCTTTAAAAGTGAAAGAAACACCATTTAAAAATGGATTGTACTTGAAATAACAAAGGCCAAGATTTTAGTTGTTGCTATATATTCTGGTCCTCCATCAAGGGTGACCCTTTAGTGCATTTTGTTATTTCTGGCTGTTTGAAGACAAAGTCTAAGCGTATATTAATTACTCAGTTGATACACTGAGTAAGCAGAGGAATAGAGGGTTTGTGTAAACTACAGCCCCAACAAAGGCAACACAGCATGGGTAGCCTTCTTATAGCCCACAAAGTCCTCAACTGGTGAAACCAAACTGCAAACCACTTCTCTTCAGATAGCAACACCTAAAAATAACTTTGCACGGGCATCATCTTATGTGGAATGCTCAAAGAATGCTTTATTTTTAACACAACACTCACTAGAGTCTATTTCTTGGGTGCTGCCTTATACCCACTCATGTAGAATGGACCCAGGATGAGTTATATACGGACAATGCAAGGGGAAAATGAGGGATTTATTTATTCTCGACTCACTTTGGATTACGAATAAAAATATATTGTCCTGAAATTGATACCAGAAACACAGTATGGGGGCTTGCTTCATGCGACTCCAAATCCCTGGATGCAGGTGTCACAGTGGATATAGTCTTTCTGGACTTTGGGAAGGCCTTTGACATGGTCTCTCACCCATTCTCATTAAAAAACTAGGAGACTGTGGTGTTGATGCCTACACAGTCAGATGGGTCACTAACTGGCTGGTGGGCCGCACCCAGAGAGTGGTGGTGGACAGGTCTTATTTGACCTGGAGGCATGTGGGCAGCGGGGTTCTGCAGGGCTTGGTGCTTGGGCCCGCCCAGTTCAACATCTTCATCAGCGACTTGGACAAGGGGGTAAAAAGCACCCTGTTCAAATTCACAGAAGACACTAAGATGTAGGGAGAAGTGGGCATGCTAGAAGGGATGAATAGGTTGCAATCGAACCTAGACAGGTTACAGGGGTGGGTGGATGAGAACAGGATGGGTTTCAACACTGACAAGTGCAAGGCGGAAGAACAAGCAGCACACCTACAGGCTGGGGAACTCCCTTCTCATCAGTGCAGAGACAGAGAAGGATCTTGGAGTCATTATTGAGGCCAATATGAACATGGGCCAACAGTGTGGGGATGCAGTCAGGAAGGCCAACCGTACCTTGCTGTGCATCCACAGATGCATCTCGAGCAGGTCCAAGGAGGTGATCCTCCCCCTCTATGCGGCACTGGTCAGGCAGCAACTGGAGTACTGAGTCCAGTTCTGGGTGCCGCACTTCAGGAGGGATGTGGACAACATGGAGAAGGTCCAGAGGAGGGCCACCCGCATGATCAGGGGTCAGCAGGGCAGGCCCTATGAGGAGAGGCTAAGGGACCTGAACCTGTTCAGCCTCCACAAGAGAAAGCTGAGGGAGATCTAGTGGCAGTTTACAAACTAGTCAGGGGGGACGCTTGTGGGGTACCTGTTCCCCTGAGCACTACCAGGAGTGACTGGAAATAATGGTCACAAGCTGGCAGAGGGTAGATTCAGATTAGACATCAGGAGGAGCTATTTCACTGTCAGGGCGGCTAGGATCTGGAACCAACTTCCAAGGGAAGTGGTGCTGGCTCCTACCCTGGGGGTCTTTAAAATGAAGCTGGATAAACACCTGGCCAGGATCACTTGACCCCAGTATTCTTTCCTGCCATGGCAGGGGGTCAGACTTGATGATCTGCTCAGGTCCCTTCCGACCCTACCAACTATGAAACTATGAAACTATGACTATTGACCCTTGCAGGTAAACTGATGCACTCCTGATGCTTAACTTAGCAATATAGGGGCTTCCTAAATACAGAAATGACATGAGGATGCGCCTACTGGATTCCTTACTGCATTGAGTCTCCTCTATGGAAGGAGAGGAAGGATTAAAAAGGCATGCTGCAGCTATGACCAAAGAGTGACTCCACAGCTTTTTTGAGGGAAAAGGGATAGGACTTTTGCTTCTCATCTCTGACACCTCTGTAGTGGTCTCCCACCTACTTGAACACAGTGGTGGCGAGTTAAGGATTTGCCCTTAAATGCACATGCACAGCAGACAGATGAATGACCTGCAGTCAGGACATCCATAACGAGGGAAGATTTCAATCCAATATACTTTCTAACCAAGTTGGAGAAGAAAAGCATATATAAAATTCAGTGTGAAAATTAATTTGACAGCACTTAGAGATTAGATAATGGATTGATAGTTTTATGTTAACCTGCAAATTTAGGAAGCTTGTAATACATTGCTATATCTGTCTATCTACATGGATTGTCACTACAGAGACTTCCACTTCAATCATTTTTGTCCAAACTTCTAATTTTGTTAGGATTAAAGAAATTTATTTCCCCTGGCTTTTTATACTAACTCTAGACATACATAGGCCAAATGAGAAAAATATATGTACTTAACCCTGTGCATGTTATTGCTGATCACATATAGTTTGGGGTGTTTTTCTATGAGCTAAAAACCTCCAAGCTCTTGATTACTTATCTGAAGAAAAAAACAATTGCTTGTTTATCAAATTGTGTTTCAGAGTAAAAAGTGTTTTGATGTTGCAACATGGTGATCCTTGCTCACACACTGAAGGGGGAACTGAGCACTTCAGGGGCAGCAAAATGGAATTTTGCCCTTGGATACTGGCAAGTATCTAGTCGAGTTCATCTTTATCTGGAGCACGGAGATCCAAAGTATGTAAATGTAGATGCCGAAGGTTCTCATTTCCTACATGCAATTGCAGAGCCTGGGAACACTGGCAGGCCATTTTTCTGGAGGGTTCAAGACTTTTCCCTACTAACTTTCAGCTTTCTAAGTGAAAGTACTACCAACCTAAGCACACTGATATTGCCTCAATCTCTTCCAGATTCTGATGAATTCATATCCCCATATGTTTTATTATTCAAAGAAATCAAACATTTTACAAGTATTTTACTTAGTAGACCTTACAACGTCCTTATGAAGTAAATACACATTATCACCATTTCACAGCAAGGAAATCGGAGGTACACAGAGATTAAGTGATTTGTTCTAGGTTTTGCAATAAAATGGTTATTTCTGAGTCCTAGTGATCAGTCTTGTGCTCTTAGCTCTGAGATACAACTCCTACTTCAACATCAACATCATTTAACTGTAGAATAAAATAACTGGCCACTCTGTAAAACAAAAATAAAATTCAAACAGGATATAAGAACTGACCTGGTGTTACAGCCATGCCATTTCCATTAACTACAGGCCTCTCTTCTTCTTCCTCCTCAGGTGGTTCAATACCTGTCTTTTCCATATTGCTCACTGACTTATTTCGCTTCCGTTTGCCTTCAGCACTAGGTGTTGCACCTGGAAGGATCTGGTCTGTTACATTTAACAGTAGTGGAGCTGGTTCGGCAGGAGGTTTTGGAGTGCCGTAATAGTTGTCTGAAAATAAAATGAATATTAAATATTTAGATTCTTAAAAGGATAACTGCTCCTTCCTTTTCTGTTGGATCATGAGGATCTATTGATATCGATTGCTGTAACGAATGCTCCGTTGTCCCTTTTCAAAGAAAGAGCATTTTTTCTGTAAGGTTCAAAAAGTGCTTATTTTTAATGAAAAGCTAATTGGTTTTTTGAAAGAGATAGGACAATCCAATTTCACAACACTGTATCTCATGAAATAGGTATGCTTGGAGACTTGAAGGGACCATTGACCATCTATTATGGTAAACACACTTTATATTACATCACATCATCCAAGTACCAGAAAAAGTCTATATAAACCACTGGTTGGTAGGCAGCTAATCTATTCCTATTGCTCTACAGAATAAGGATGTAAATATTGTTAAAAAAATTATCCAGTTAACCTCCTCTAATTGCATCTGTTAAACAGTAATGCAGGGGCTCAGGCATGGCTGCTGCTGGGGGCCGTTCCCTGGCCCTTTCACAGATTGGAGAGGAAGCGATGGCAAGCCCTGCCAGACAACACAGCTCACATGAAGCCCCATGCTGGGAGGGAGGAAACGTCTGTGAACAAGCAGCTTATTGCTTAATTGACAAGTCATTTGGCTGCCCACTGTTTTCTTCTTTAACTTCGTAGGTGATGGGCACACTAGTTCACCCTTTTCCCTTCCCCGTCCCTCCTACTCCCTCCCTCCCCCCACCTCCCCTGCCTCCTTCTGGTTCCTGCTGGGGTCCTGCATGGCTTCGCTTCCCCCTTCCCTGCTGGACTGCACCCTGTCCCAGTCTAAACGA